TATTTTGTGAAGTACCTATTCACATTTCAAATTAGAGGAGTTTGCTTACCCCTGCTTTGGTTTAATTATTGGCTGAGTGCTCACCCTATCTCCCACCTCTTCCAAACTACAAAAACCCTCCCTCTGTTTCCTCTGGAATTCAGGATTAGTTGCTAGCAAAATCTGCAACCTTCCTGTGCTCTTTGAACCTGCCTTTCAGATCCTGATGGACAAAGCCTGGCTCTCTTATGGACACTATCTCCCTTGGAATCCTCTCAAGACTTTTCTCTTCTACAGCTTTCCAACCACTGGCCTGGAACTGGGAGAGGTGACCTATTTTCCTCATTGTTCCTTCCAGAGCACTCTCCCTCCCTTTTCCTTAGATACCTTCACCCCTGAATATCATGCCATCAGCAGTACATTAGAAACCATTCTTCCTCCTTACTGTCTTTGTCAACTTCTGGAACATTCTCCATTTTTTGAACACTGTAGATCCTAAACATCACACCTTGTTCTTGGCAGACCTATCATAATTTTCTGTTTAATATTAATGCACGTGACCCAAATACCTTGTGCCATGGTCACCACCAGCTCTTGAAACACACTTGTCAAGTAAGAACAGCACTTTCCTCCAGGTAGACTCAGGCCCATCCCCTGGCACAGGGGTTGGAAAGCGCAGGATAGTTAACTCCATCCACTGCCAGCCAGCCAACTGGAGAGTAAAAACACAGCTTTTTCTTTCATGACAGCCTTATCCTAGGCCTCTTCTTTCCTCTCATCTCAGACCCGCACTCCACAATATTGTTCTAAACCCAATGTCATCACCTATGCTTCTAGGTAATAGGACTTCACACCATTCCTTCACACAGGTGTTTTATTTCCACATCTGCTTAAATTCTGTGGACATTTACTTTAATTGCCTCTTGAAATTCAACTTCTTTGTCCTTTTGTTGCTATATTGTTTGCATTTGGAAAAAAGACAACTCTACTGAAATCTAACTGTGTGTGTGCTCTGCACTTTCATGCTTGTCTTGAACACAACTGGAGAAAGCAGTACATTCACGCTGACCAGTTTCATGATAAATTCAGGACTAATGACATGATTTATGTGGTCAGACTCTCTCAGACATTCTCCTCCTTAAATCTGCAAAACTATCTCCTATTCTCACTCTCACTTCATAATCCTTTTCATGATTTTCATGAGAAAAAAATAAGTAATAAGAAGCAAAATTTTCCACATGCTCACCTACCTTCACTTTTACAATACCCTTTTTCTACTTTTCCTCCTTGACAGTAGCTGCCTGCACCCTTGCTAAGACCAATCTTTTCAACTATTGAATGGGTCCCATTCCTTCTGATCTGATCAAACATATGCAACAGGGCAACCCTCCCAATCATCAACTTCTCCTCAACTACAATTTTGCCATTGGTAATCAATCATTCCAAAATTTATTTCTTACTTTAAAATATGTATTGATTCCACCTTTCCCTCAGGTATTTTCCAACTTCTTCTCTTTACCACACAACAATTTTTTATTAAACATGTCTATATTTATTTGAAAGGCAGGGTTATAGATAGATAGAGAGAGAGAGAGAGAGAGACAGAGAGCAAGAGAGACAGAGACAGAGAGAGAATTTCCATGTGCTGGTTCACTCCCCATATGGCTGCAATGGCCAGGCCTGGACCAGGCTAAATCCACAAGCTGAAACTCCATCTGGTCTCCCGTGTGGATGTCAGGGGCCCAAGCACTTGGATCATCTTCTACTGCTTTCCCAGGCACATTAACAGTGAACTGAATTGGAAGTGGAGCAGCCAGAACTGGAATCACAGACAGCAGCTTAACCAGCTACGCTACAAAGCTGCCCCTCAAAAATTCTTAAAAGAATTGCTTACAATTCTGATCTCCAGTTTCTCTCATAGAATCCTCTTGACCTCATTTCATTCAGACTTGTGGTATTACCATTCCACAAAAACTGTCATGGTCAAGTTCATTAGTATCCTCAACAAAGCTAAATCCAGTACTAATTCCTTAACCTTTATCATAACCTGACATTCCAGAAGCATTGACATGAGTCACTTCCTCCACAGAAGCACTTTCTTCACTTGGTTTTCAGCATAGAAAACATGTTCTCACATCCATTTATCCTCTGTTTCCTATAATCTCTCCAGCCTCTTGTAGTTCAAGTGCCCATCAGCTCAGCCTTTGGGTCTCATGTCTTTTCTACAGCAGTACTTCAACTTGTTTATGCAAAATGTAATTAAAGGACAAGAATATTTTGGCACAGACAACTTGAAGTCCATATATCAGGAAGTCTTCAAAAAGTTCATGGGGGACACATATTATGGAAAAACTATACATGGATTTTAAAAGCTGTTTGCTCTAAAATAAGCTTATATTTAACCCTAATTTTCCACAAACTTTGTGAAATACCTCCATGTTGACCTTCAGTTCCTGGCTTCTCTTATTCAGTTCACATCTTTGATGCTATCTATGAACTGGCCACTTCCAAGTGTGTATCTCCAGAAAGACCTCTCCTTTGAATTTCGGACATATAAATTCAATTAACATACCCATCTGGTTGTTGAAAAGGAGTCCCATACTCAGTGTGTCCAAAATTGAGCTTCTGATCCACAACCCAGTTTCCTCAAACTGCTTCTCTTGCAGATTCTTCTAGTTAAGCTAAAAACAATGCTATTCTTCTACTAACCTGCCAACTTTGAGGCAATTCCCAACGACTTTATCTCCTATCCACATTTATCTGTCAGCATATCTAGATGGTTCTACCTTCATGTATATCCAGAAGCTAATCAATTTGCATGACATCCACTGCTGTTCCTGCATCACCTCTCCTCTAGAGTGCAGGAAGAGGTTTCTAACTGGTCTCCCTGTTTTTTATTCTTGTTCCTGTATTGTCCTTTTTATTTAGTGATTCTGCTAAAACTAAAGTATAAATCAGGTCATTATCTCATTAGCTCAAAACTCTACAAAGCAAGAGCCAGTACAAAATACAAAATACTCCAAGATGCAAAACGTTTTGAGAGCCACTGTGAGCATACAAATGGAAAGATGATTAAACTCACAAGATAAGTCACAGTCAAAATGCAGGTGCACTAAAAATATTTCATAACATTACCCCTAGGATGTGTACGTAAGTGTACTTGAAATGTGAATGAATTTTGTGTTTAGACTTGGGTGCCATTTCCAACATCTCATTACATAATATAAATACTCCAAAATCTGAAGAAAATACAAAATCTGAAATACTTCTGGCCCCAAGCATTTCAGGTAACACTCAACCTGTTTCAAGGCCTATATAATCTGGCCCCCATTACTTCTCTGGCTTTGCATTTCATTATGCATTCCCTTGTTCACTCCATCCTCCTACCCACACTGCTCTTAGTGTTTCTAGAACATTCTACTCTCCTGCCTCAAAATCTTTTTAAGTTCTGTTCCCCCTACCTTGAACTCACTCCTCTTTAAATACCTGCTCTTGCATTCCACTCAGGTATTTTTTCAAAATAACCCTGTCCTTCCCTCTTCCCCCTTTTTTATTTTGGCTCATATTACTTGTCACCAATAAATAAGCTATAAATATTTTAAATATTTACTTTGCTTATTGTCTTTCTCTCAAAAAGCATCAGCTTCATGAAGATGTGGTTTTTGTTTATTTGTTTTTACTCCTGTAACTGCGATGTCAAGAATAAGGCCTGGCACACAGTAGAAGCTACATGTAAATGCTGAGAGCTCAGGAGCACTCACAGAACAGAAACGACATCACCAAGTCTCTCCTTCTCCCAAAAGAGAAGAAGATGCCCTATTCACCAGCCCTTCTTGAATACCAGAAATTCCTGTGTGCTGCTGCCTTGTCCCCACTCTAACCAAAAAGACTTGCAAAGATTCATAGCAAGACATTAGTTACTGTGTGTGTGTTGGGGGAAGGGGGTGGTGAGTTTCCAAAGGCATAGAAATAGGGACAGCGAGTCAAATGAAAGATGATAAAAGCAGCCCATAAAACAGTCTGCAACTGTTTGCTAAGAATCTATCTGTGTTTCCTAAGTTACCTTCACAACCTCTGCTGCAGATCAGATAGAAACTAAAGCAGTATGGGTCTTCTGGGGCCTATCAGACTGCACACCAGTCTAAAGGGCAGGAGTGTTCAGTCAGCATGCAGAGCACACACATGGACCCTGATGGCCATTAATAAAATGAATGGCTTTGGGTTATTACTGACATATGATATTTCTGTAAGGAGTCTTTAAGGTTTGTTTGTTTAAAGGTAATTTACTGATTCCTAGGAGTCCACTGACTGAAACTTTAATTATACAGTCTTCCTCCCAGATCATGATACGGGTCCATTTGTGGGACCAGTGAGTAGGGCAGGAGAAAGTGCAGCAGCCTTTGTGGGACAAATATTTGCCAGAACTGCAGGATAGAATGACAGATACCAGAGGATGATAATGTAACTGTCGTGAGAAAGATAAATATGGATTAACACAGATGGAATTCAGAGGTGGAAAACGTCCCCCTTGGGATTCTGGAAGGGTCACTCACTCATCAAAATGTTTAACAAGAAAGTATCATATTCGGCCCTTATTTCACTGTGAAGAATGATAACATTAAGCTTAATTTACAGAGGACAAGCCAAGGTTCAAAGCTATTATAAAACTCCTGTGATCACAGAAAAGATCATTGCAATCAGAAATGAAGGGCTGGCATTCTCAGTCGTCCCATGGGAATGGAACCTCTAGTGCCTCCAGCAACCCTCCAACATCGGAGAAATACACTGAGGCTGCTAATACAAAAAATGCTCATAGAAATACATACTGGGCAAACAAAACACAAAGAGCTATGTTCTGTCATAGTCAATAACCGTTTTAACTCAACACTAATGATAAATCTTAGAAAATGGTGAAAACGCAGACAGAATATTACAAGGCTGAGAGATTCAGTTAGTGGATTACTGGAATCCTACAACACTTAGGAGAACGGGGTTTATTTTTTGAGACTGGTCACACTCACCTCCATTTTCCTCTCCATTGGCATTTGCCTCAGCCATTTCTGTGCCATCCAACTCAGATTCACAGACTAAATCCAAAGCTCCATCCACTGAGCAAGAGGATTCCTCTTTCTATATTAGTTTAAAAAGGATGATTTATGGAGATATATTAGTACCAGAAAACATTCAAAATACTTTCAGAAATCTAAAGTATTACCATTGCTATTTGTGATTTACAATTTCAATACTGATTTACTTTGTAATATAAAAATCAACCCCCCCAAAAAAAAATCTGGGGAAAGGCCATTGTCAAAGGGTTTTTTTTTTTATAATCTTTCAAAATCCACACCAAAAATAATTCATTTTGAAATTGTTGTTCCCCCCCTTTTTTAAAAACTTTTTCTTTATGTAAATAAATTGCATGAAATAGAGAGCAGAATTTTGATCAGTAAATTAAACACTCATCTAGGTATAAAATGCTAAAAAAAAAAAAAAAAGGAAAGCAAGCAAGCAAGTCTTTTGATTAAGCTGTGTTATTTTTCGAATCCCCACAAGGACAAGAATAATTTTGCCCAGGATAATTTTGGCCATTTAAAAAAAAAATCTTCCCAAAGAAAATTAAGACACTTCAAATATAAATCCTTCATTTAGTAAAACAGTGACTTATTTTTAATAATATATTGAATTCACTTTTTCCAAGTTATACTCCCATTGTAGAACATAAGCTTTTGATCTATAGAATTCTGCAATATAGGTGGCATTTCTGCTAAACGGACATGGGCATTCATCTAAAACAGTTAAGATTCAAGTTATTAGAAGTTTGCATTTTATTTCTCCATTCTTTTCAAATAACAGGTATGCATTCCTAGAAAAAACTTCCTTGAGATCATCATTTGTTTTAGAATTGAATACTTTATTTAAATCCATACATGTTCAAGCAGAATAAAATTTTTATTTTTAAAAAGCTAGAAAGGCATGCAGGTATGAAGCTTCCATATCAACATATGGTCATTAAGTCCAAGAGTTTATGGCAACTGTGATCATATTAAACTCCTGGCTGATGATCCATGACACTCCTCTGCAAATATTTTAAAGAATCAAGAATTTTAAAGAAGCCACAACTATTTTCCATGACCATATATTATGGAGTGAAACCACAGATATGCTTTTCTTAAAGAAAAATGCTATTGTTTATTCTTAATATGAAATCATTTTTCTGACATCTGAAAACATTTAAAAGGCAAAGGGGTCATTCTTCTACCCTTCACCCAAAACTAATTTTGTTTACCTTCACATGTCTGAAAAAATGTATGATACACAGGCATAACTTAACACACATAGTATGCACAACAGTCCAACTTACTTTGAGAGCATAGAGGCCTGACTTTCCAGGGATTTTGAAGAATGTTCCATCCCCTATTCGAGTGTTAGTGTGAAGCATTGCATTCAGACAGGCTAATGGAGAGGTTCCACTAGAAAATAAAAGTGTGCAAAAATGAAGCAGTCTGAGATGCAGCTTCTGTGGCAAAACTGTTCCCCAAGTCTTCATAAAAAAAAAAAAAAAAAAAAAAGACTTCCTTGCATGCCTTTTTAAAATATCCTCCCAACCCCGAAACATCTACATTACAATAACGAGCCAGTCCAGTTTCACTGAAGTTAATCAGATGCATCAGTCATAGGCTTCAGGCAAGAAGTCTACTGAATTAAAATTATGCTTTTATTCATAAAGCAACTGACACTGTATTTTAAAGAAACCAAAGCATTTATGTGATGCTATTTTATAAATAATACCATGAAGCTTTGGATTTTAAATTTTACAGACAACTTCATGGTTGCACTTGAGTGATCAAAAAAAAAAAAAAAAAAAAAGACCAAGTTCAAGGGTAGCTCCATCCCATAGGTTAAAAAGCAACAAAAGAAAGGTTGAAAAGCACCAAAAGAACAATAAGAAACCAGGGAAGAACTGATTTGAAATTATAAGCATCTAAGTCGTAGGGCTGCATTTCTTACATGACCAACTAAGAGTCTGTATCTGTGTTTCTATCTCATATAGCTTCTACAATGACATTCTTATCTCAGTTAGAGATGTCAAATAAAGAAGTATGTGTCTGGGAATTCTGCCCAGTTAATAATTATGTTCTACAGTAAGGATGCAAGTGACTGAATTAAGAAGTCATTTTTTGAAGAAATCAAATACCATTAAAATAATGATTAAAAATACCAAACCATAAAGCACAAACTTTATTGGAATATATACACTTGGGAAGATGTTTATGAAATGTGACAAATATGTATTTATTTCCTGGAGCAGATTTTATACCATGTTTTATGTTTTACTTGCAAATCAATATTTTTTGCAAGCTACAATTTTTGCTTTCATTCAGTTATGTTTCCATATATATTGTACTTGTTAATACACTACAAGATCAATATTTGGTCACATGGATTTTCCTTAGAAGCCCTAGCCTCACCCCACATACCTCTTGGGAGTTATGAGTATTTATTCCAAAATATTCTGGGTCAAAAAAGTCTTTAAGAAATTATACTTTCAAACTCTCAATTTCTGGGATAAAAACACAACTTTCTGTTACTAAATTAAGAATTTCCTAAAATTTGTGATTATCCAACCTGTCACTTACTATGAAAACTCACCAACAGAGCTAAGCAATCAAATTTTCTGAGTTGTAAGAAGAAACTTTCGCAAGTCAACATGCATATGCATTGTGGTCCTAAAGGCTTATAGTATTACAATAATATGAACACTCTTTATTATTTTAGGAAGCTGCTTGTCTATGCTAACATATAAATATGGATCCACTAGTTCTGATGGGAAATAGCAATCCTAATGCAAATACAATCCTAATAAAAAAAAAAAAACCCTAATAAAAATCCTAATAATGCAGCTGTAACACTAAAGTTCACACAGTTATATGCTGTCTGCTTATGTAATATCTTTCCTCATGAAGCTGCTACAAGCCTACAAACCTCATTTCATTATTTTCCCTCACAAATGATTTTTGCTTATATTTGAAGTGGCCCAGGCACACCCATAAAGTAAAATTTATTCATCTCTGCAGAATGAATTCCAGATAAATAATGCATCAGAGGTTATACTGAATTCTGAAAAATATGTTATTTTTACGGTATACCCTTCAGACAAAAGCACAGAAAATTTGAAGCTGGGATGATTATGCCAGATTCTGGAGTTTTAATTTAGTGAAACTGTCAGAAATACAGACTTTCCATAGGGACTTGGCAAAAAGATGTTAACATGACAAGTAAAACAGAATCTAATATATAAAAATGACATAATGTAGACTTTCAAAAATATAGCTTAATAAAATTGCTCACCTAACATGAAACCTCACAGTATTCTCTCTGCTGTTGGGTCCTAAGATCTTAAGGCACACAATTCAGGATTCAGATTTAGAATTTTAAAGAGGGAAAGGCATTTGGCACTGTGATTAAAATGGCACTTGGGAGGCCCTCTTCCCATAACTGAGGGCCTAGGTTCCAGTTCCTTCCAGCTTTCCACTAATGCACACCCTGGGACACAGCAATGAAGGATTCCGTAGTGTGTCCCTGCCACCCACAAGGAATACTTATGTTTAGTTGCCAGCTTTCAGGCATTTGGGGAGTGAGGCAATGGATGGGAGCTCTCTCTGTATGTCTCTCAAAAAATAAAATAACTAATTAAAAAAGGTTAGAGGCATTGCTTTAAAAAAAAAGACATTAAAGAATAATACAGATTTAAAGGCAACTAAGAAATAGTGAACAAATATAACACCACTATAATTTATATTTTCTACGGTACAATAACCTAGACAATAAATCTGCTATTAAATAGCAGTTTAAAGACACTAGCAGTTTAAAGGCTAGCATTGTGGCACAGTGGGTAAAGTGCTGCCTGAAAAACTGGCATCCCCTAGGGGCTCTGGTTCCTATCCTGGCTACTTCATTTTCAATCCAGATCCTTGCTAATGGCCCAGGAAAATCAGCAGAAGATGGTCCAAGTGTTTACACTCTTACTACCCACGTGGGAGACCCTGATGAAGCTCCTGGATCCTGGCTTCAGCCTGGCCCAGCACTGGCCATTTTGGCCAATTAGCGAGTAAACCAGTGGATGGAAGTTAACTCTCTCTCTCTCTCTCTCTCTGATTTTCAAAATAAATAAATAATCTTTTTTTAGAAAATATGTTTGCTGCAAACATATATGATGAGTACCCAGTACCCTACAAATAATCTCTATTGAATATGATAATTAAATCATACTGTTTAACTCAATAAGCTCAAGAACTACTACAGAAAAATTCAGAAATATGTAATTCATATCATATGACAGTACATTTCCCAAAGTCTCAGTGCCTACTGGAATTTCCCCAAATCTTTTCCCAGAGCAATCATATAAAATTTGTTTTATTTCAAAACTATATATTGGCAAAGAATTAGAAAATATTTTGCAATCAAATGAATTTTATGCAACAAAATCACTCAATTAGTCACTTCGTTTTAAGCATATCACTTAGATTTTTTAGGAGAAAGAGTCTAATTATTCTGATCCATTTTAAGAACAACACAAAAATTAGCAACAATAGAATTTAAGTGCTTAATAAAAGGTAACATTCAATGTGGAATAAGGAAGATACACTTTTAAAATCTATATCATTTACTTATTGCTATTATTCTCATTAATGCCATAAAATTCAGAAAACTTAGACTGCTTTTCCTGAAGTCATGTCTCAGTTAATTGCTACTGAATAGGAATACATAAAATACTTATTTAATATTATTTTTATATTTAGAAAAAATAGAATGGGAAAATATATAAATCTGCCTATCTATTTGAATTTAACACACAATGATTATCTGAAGGTAAGAGAGACGATTACACAAATATGATCTAATCTGTATTCTGAGATATCATGAACACATTATAGGTAACAATTCTTAATTTTAATTTCTTAAAAACTATTTTCTTCAGTTAATGCACAAGTTAATCACATCAATCAGAACTAAAAAATTTAAAATTCGATAACAGAATATGTGTATGTGTATATGAAGCCATAAAACATCAACAATTTAATAAAATCTCTGAAATTTCAAGTTACTTACTTTCTAATCAGATGAACGGGAAGAACCATGACATCCCGAATTATACAAGGAAAACAAAAGGAAGGAAGAAATAAAAGTTAGTTTTATAGCTTAAAACACAAGTTTCCATCTTACCATTTCCATAAATTTGACAGTGTACAGTGAACACGCCAAAGTCTTAGATTTGGTTGCCTATGAGCAGGTGAAGAGGAAAGAACTGGGGCTTTGGGCTAAAAGGCAACCTGATTTTCTTCCGTAATTCTTCTGTAATGCTTTCATTTTGTTCCCATTGCACATGTATTCCATGTTTACATACAATTAGAAGTAAATAAGCAGGACAATATCTGCCCCAAATTCTCTTCATTCTTCCATTCCTTATAATCAGGCCCTTTCCTATGCACCTGCCATTGTAGATATACAGCTTACTCTACTTGTTTGTTTTTTTCCCCGCTAGACTATAAGGTTGTGGAACCCTTCTGGTTTGTTTTCATTTCCCACAACCCCTGAAGCAGAACAGGGGTGGAATTTGGAGGCAGGGGAGCAGTCATAATTGAAACTGTCTAGACATCAAAGAACCCCCAGAGATGCTATGCACAGTCCCAGTGCTGTGTGAAATACACAAAACCATTCCTTTATATTATCAAATTGCTGATGCAACACATAGAATTTTGCTATTAGTGAATACATAGTGGAAGGAATGGTTAGCCTATCTGAATAATTTTAAAGTCACTGGAAGACTACCTGGGGAATGCTATAGGAAGACTATTTGCAAAGATAATAACATAATCAAGGGCCTCTGTTCCTTTATATAAAATAATAGTATTTTGTAAGACAATATTTAAGTAACTCAAATCTTAATCTTAATAAAAATTCTAGATGAAAACTATTTCTTGTAAAAATGCTAAATCTCATTTTTCAAATACAAAAGCATCAAAAATTAATTTGCATAAATAGAAGTCTAAAGACAAATTCAACAAGGCATTAGTAAGCACTATGATAACTGCTATTAATATAAACAGTGGTATGTTTATTCTTCTATCAAAAACAGTTATAGCTTTTTTCAAGTATTACCTTTCAAAACAGTTTTAATTATAAAGGATATATTTTTAAGAGTAAACTACACAGGCCACTGGGGTGCTGGCAAGATTTCAGATCTTCACACAGTATATATTGATTCACTTTGTGAAAATTAAATTGTACAATAGAATCAGTGCACTTATCGTCCTATATGTTACATTTCACAAGAAATGTTCTTAAAATGTAAAAATTTGTATTCTTGGATTATTTATCTATTTTTATTTCTAATGACCATGTCCATACTAATGGAGGAGAATAAACCATTTTTACCAGTTAAAAAGGATGACTCCTAAACATATATAGTTACAGAACCTGTATCAGCTGAAAAAATCAATAACCTAGATGGTTTAAACACTACCCTAGAAAACTGAGGCAAAACTAAGTTTTATCTACTAGAAACATTACTGCTAGTGAAGAATTCTATATGGGCGCCGGGTTCTAGTCCCGGTTGCTCCTCTTCCAGTCCAGCTCTCTGCTGTGGCCCGGGAAGGCAGTGGAAGATGGCCCAAGTGTTTGGGCCCTGCACCCACATGGGAGACCAGGAGGAAGCACCTGGCTCCTGTCTTCGGATTGGCGCAGCGTGACAGCCATGGCGGCCATTTGGGGAGTGAACCAACAGAAGGAAGACCTTTTTCTCTGTCTCTCTCTCTGTCTAACTCTGCCTGTCAAATTAAAAAAAAAAAATTGAAAATAAAATGCTAAACTTTGGAGTTCTTTTAGTTCTCTGAATAAGACATGAATGCATGCAATATATATATGCAATTATAGTTGTATATTATCTAAATTCTAGCACAAAACATTAACCAAAAAATGTACACAAAAAATACCCACATTAACTTCATGGCACCTCTAAGATTACTGATGAAATTTTTAATAAGCACTGACATGTGGGGAATAACAGAGATTAGAAAAATATAAAAATAAATAACAACAACCCAGCAATCCAGACAAGGAATGGGTAATATTTAAAAGAGAGATACTTTATAAATTTCTATGTGAAGATATCTACATGATTTTCAATACTCAACATGTCTCTATGGTATAGTTAGAAATGTAATTCATATTTAAAGGAAAGATAATTTGCAAATTTCTTTGTGAAGATATCTATGTGATTTTCAATATTCAACATATCTCTAAGGTAAAGAAAGAAATATAGTTCTGAAACCCTTTTATCTGGTGGAAAAATTCATACAAGAAATAATTACCAAATAATATGTCATGAAATTCAATTCTCAATTTAAAGAAAGAATTTCAGACTCCAAACTTTAATGTGTATCTCTGATTGGCTTGAATACTATAAAAGAAATTCTTCCTAAAATATAAAGTCATTTGAACTTAGACCTTTTATCTACTTTATAGAAACTACCATGCTACCACTAGAAAGACTAAAGTGATTTATCAGCCATACCCAGTAACCTGACCTTGTGTTTTAGAAGGCAAAAATTCCAACACATTAATACAAAGTCAAAAACTTGGTTAGTATTATCTTAAAATAGGCTCTATAAGGAAACTATGGAATAGCTGTTTAGAAGTATAAACTGAAACATAAAATCTATTTTATAATTTTCAAAGACCTTCAATTAAAATAGGTGGTGAGGTGACTGTCTTTAATTATAGAAATAAAGTAAAGAATTATCACAAAATAACTTTAGAAAGTTCATTAATTAATATTTTACTTACATATTAAAGCTCAAATTATCTATTGAGTGGCATACCTTTTGACATGACAGTATTTGACAGATTTATTCTAACCTTCCCCAATCGAAATGATCTCTATTATTCTCCATTTGAAGAATGGAGAATCTTTTAAAGCCTAATTCAATTATTGGGATAGCAGGCTCTTAAAGGAAGGGAGCATGCCATTTACATTTTAATTTTATATCCCTGACAGCATTATAGAAATTCTTGAACTAAAGGGGAAAAAAGAATGTGCCACATATATAGATATTGGCAACTGTACCTCTACATACAGCTATGTATTATGTGACACATGTATTACTCTGTCTATATGATGAAAGGGAGGAAAGTATAATGAACAAGACTGAGGGTGTGGGAGCCAGTTAGCCCGAGTTCAGCTGATGTCAGACTATTCACCGCCTGCATCGCATCACACTCAGTCTCACATTCATCAGATACAAAACATGGATAACGAAGTCAGTGTGTCATAGAGGGCTAAGCTTTTATAACCGTGTTGGCATGTTGTAAGTGTTCAACAACTGTGAGCTATTATTATTATTCTCATCACTACTCAAAGTAACCAACATCTACCAAGAATGGTAAATGAAAAGTAATTATTATTTCATACCTCATTTAAAGAATCGGTTCAGGCAATACATTGTTTAATGTCTAACAGCGTTTTCTTCTCATTGGCAAAAATGGCTGAAGACATGGGCATATGTACTGTATTCCTAAATGACTGTCTTCACATGTGTAGCATGTTAAAAAATCAATACCTTATTCAGTAAGGGTTGAATAACAGCAGCACACAGAATGGAAGAGAATAATAGCCACACATATCTATTATTACAGTTACCATTTATTGAGCATCTATAATGTGCCTGGGCTTTCAAAACTCTTATCTGCCTTCCTTACAGCTTTCATAAAATGTAGGCATGAGTCCCAGTTTTATAAATGTGTCTGAATCTTGAAGATTAAGGATCTTACTGAAACCACATAACAAAATGAAGTGATAAAGCTGAAATTCATATTCTACCTAATTCCAGAGCCTATGTTCTTTTTAACTATCCCATATTCTCTCTCCATAGTTACCTCCTTCAGTTTGTGTACCTGGAATACTAAGAATATTTAACACCTGGAGGATACACCTAAAGAAAAGCCAGATGTTGCTAAATGGTAAGGTGGTTGGCACCATCTTCACCCAACACTGCATACAGCAATGACTTTCTCAGGGTAGATTTCAAATATTGTAAATTAAAAAGTGAGCTGCAGGAGATGACTTTTTTGGTTGTCTTTCTCAGCTAATACTACCCATGAAAACCAAGGAATAAAGAACTTTTAAGAAACATAAAGAATTCAGATCCATAATTCAGATGTCTCTTCAAAGACTTGGATCATTAAAGAAAAAACACAATCCACTCACTGAACAAATATTTACTGAGCACACTATGTATCTCAAATTAATCTTGAAATAAATTTGCACTCTCACAGTGCTTTCCACATAATAGAAATGTAGGCTGAGCTGACCTCAATTTTCTGAATACATGTGAAAAGATGGAATGCAGGAAAAAGGCAGCCTTGAGGCAAGTGACAAAGAGGAAAAACATTTAGAATTTCAATGTTATCCTCAGTTTCTTGCAAGGAGATGATTGAGATATGATCATGCACGGATTTTTTTATACTATCAACTCCAATGCACCTGCAATCAACCCACAGCCATAAGTGTCTCTTCAAGGCATATACTATTTCCCACCTCTGCAAACTCAAAGAGAATATTTTCAATTCGTCCAAAAATGTATCTTCCAAAATAAAATAGTGAACTTAATATATTAAATAAAAGAACAGATGTTACAATTATATGAGATGACAAATTAGTTTCATATTGAAATGTAAATTTCTATATTCTTGTAGCCAATGAGATGCTTCCATTTTGTCACCAATAATTAATTCTGCCATATTTCCAATATCTGTTCTATGGGATAGATGCTCCAAATGAATTACCAAATTTATGCAATGTTCATTCTCCTCTTGCAAACTCACCAACTATATTAATAATACATGTATATGAAAGTCTCTAAAACAATCTAGCTTGACTCCATGTTTCCTACCCATATCTAACAAAAGGGATCCTATTCACCATAATATCAGCAACATCTCCTTTTATGATATGCCAAAGAATATACTTGGGGTAATGCTGTACCACATTTAAATAAAGAGGATCACCAGGAGAAATGTACTTAGCAGTCACCATTCCCAGGAATGTTTAATTTCATGATCTAAATATTACAAGGTTACTTTAAAACAATGTAAAATATCTTTTTTCTGTTAAAAAAATTTAATGTGATGATTATTTTTCCCTGTGTAAATTTATAAAATTGAAATGTGTACTCAGGAGCATTAAACAGCACTGGAAAATTTACAAATGATATCCATAGACAGTTGAAAATACTGCGTATTTGTGATATTACATTACTTAATAGATGAAAACCTATTGTGAAAATCCACACACTCATCCCCTACCCTCACCCAATAGATCTGCCTCCTGCTTCCCTTCTGCCCTCACTCAGCCCTGGGTACAAGCCTTTTCCTCTCTAATCATGACTGAAGCAATTCTCAGACTATTCCAATTAGCTTGCCTCCATAAAGCCTCAACCAAGTTCACCTCTGAATTTGCATTTTTACTTCCTCCCACCTTAGCTTCAAAGGATCTTTACCTCACTTACAAGAGGGTGATTTTAAGCTCCCAACCATTCTCCCTGTCTTCAACATCTCCCTACTTCAATTCATCCTACACACTAGGGACAGATGATTTTCTTATTTAAAATAAAACACACACACACACACACACACACACACACACATTTCTGTCTCCTTCTAAGGCTGTGCCATTCACTGGCTTTATTTTTTTAATGTGTGGTTTTCACTGCCCACAAAAGCGAGCACAAACTTCACTGCCTGACACAGGCTTCCCTACTATACAACTGGCACCAACCTCATCTTTATCTTCAACTCCCAGCCACTCCCTGTAATCCTATCCAACTCAGTAAATCACAGTT